TGGTTCTGAGCGGGTCCACTCCACTACTGTGTCCTCAGGAAGGCGGGACGATGTTGTGCAGGGCAGGACGACAGAATCTGACCCCTCAGTGACCTCGACCTCCTGCTGATCAGCTGAGAGGAAATAAAGAAGAAAATGATCAGAAACAGTTTGGATCATTTTCTGCTTTCATGTCAGATTTAGTCTCATCACTGTCTCCATGGTTACAGACACTATGATCAATTATTCATTTTTCTCATTTGAAACAAATTCATTCATTCATAGAACTTTAACATAGGTTGTGCTGCTTGTTTATCTGACCTTGACCTTCAGGTGAATCTGTTTCACGTTCCGTTCTTCTCTTCCATTAGAGATGCTGCAGCTGTAGTTTCCTCCATCAATCTGCTCAGGTTTCCTCAGAGTCAGGCTGAAGTTTCCAGTGTCCAGAGCGTCAGGATTCATGGAGGTCCGGTTCCTGAAACGCTGGTTCTGGTTCTGAAGATCGTCGCCGTTTTCTCTCTGCAGGTGGACGGAGTTCGGACTGAGGTCACTGCGAGTCCAGATGAGTAACGGATTGTCTTCAGGTATTTGACCAGAGTAGATGCAGGGCCAGGACAGACTCCGCCCCCTCATTGACCTCCACCACTCCTCCCAGTGCATGCTGGGAAACTGAGGACACAAGATGAGGGTTTAGTGTAGAAATAATGATCAGTTCTTCACTAGAGATGAAAGATTTCAGTCTGTCTGCTAAACGGCTCAGTGATCCTGAACTCTGATCTGTTATGTAACATTAACTCACATTGAGCAAAAGTCAGAAAACTGATAAAAGTGCATTAAAATAAATACATTTAAAACTGAAAGATGGAAACAGATGAAACTGAAAAAGCATGAATGTTTTCAGAGTTGCTGTTTATTAGCAGAAATCCTGCTGTCAGTTTTCAGCTTGTTTTATCTATTTGATAAGAAAGATTTTTGTTTTAGTATCTTGTGATTGTTGGGCAGATTTTATTTCTGTGACTTTATAAAAAAAATAAAATTCTTCTGACTTTATTTTCTGGGTTTCTGGTTCTGATTCTTTCTAGTTACAGAGTTTAAACCTTCCAGTAACTTTCAGTCACTTTCTGCTGTGAAACTGAAGCGTTTTGTTGATCAAACAACAATCTGGACATTTCTAAAGAATCGCTGTTTGATCCAAAAAACTCATCATTTCATTCTGAATATCATCCACAGATCAACCAGTAAACCAGAGAAGAACCGGACCCACCAGAACCTGGTTCTCCTTTAATGGTCAGACCAGCATCATGCATCAGCAGCAGAACATTATGACCACCAACCTGAGACTGAGGTGAATTCAGGAGAAATAAACTACAACCAGCAGGCGGCCATCTTGGATTCAAATGAACATGAATGTGAAAAACTGAAGGCAGGAAGGAAACGCAGAACCTTCAACATCTGCAAACATTCATCACTGGTTTCTGGGAGCTAAAGTCCAGATTACTGGTCTGAATGGGTCTCAGTGGTTCTGAAGCTCACAGAACTACAACCTGATAGAAAACATCAGAACCAGATCAGCTGCTGAACCCAAAAACAGAGAAATTGAATCCAGACAGGAAACGGCAAAGTGGAGCCACTGGTTGGATGGAAGAGACCAGAATCCAACCAGCAACAATAAACCAGTGAGATCTACTGGGAGGACTGGTGAGAGACGAGTCGCTGGAACCAGAACCTGAGGTTCTGATCCAGAACCATCAACCAGCTGAGGTCACCAGGGTCATTTAGAGAGAAGAACGGACCAGAACCCAGAAGCTCTGAGTCTGATCAGCAGCTTGCAGAGACTGGAGAGGATGAGGAGCGAGAGGAAGGTGATCTTACCGAGCAGGAGGATCATCATCATCATCATCATCATCATCATCATCATCATCTTCCTCTCAGAACAGAGAGTCGTCCATCAGATCCCAGCAGCGGATCACCTCTGACTCCAGATCACCGTTTCTACTGGAACCAGCAGAGACACGCAGGAAGAAACTCCACTGCTGATTGGCTGATTCAGACGCTGCTGAACCGGTTCTGATCCAGTTCTGAGGAAAGGCGGGACCTTCAGTTTCCTCATTCAGCCATGGAGCTGTGAGGAGGTTAAAGGTCAGGACCTTCAGTTTCCTCATAGTTTTGTTGGAGTTTCATCATTTCTGTCTCTGTGATCCCCAGGTCCGTTTACCGGTTTCAGGACCGACCAGAACCCTGAGAATAATGAGATTTGGTTTTATAAAAACAGGTTTTAATGCTGAAAATGATCAGGTGTTACAAGCCATAATGTGATCCAAACGGATCAGAACCAACTTTATCCTGATGTTTTTATGGTGTTACTAACTCACCTGATCCTCCTTCACTGCTGAACATAAACTTCTTTAACCTTTGTCTCTTTTAGCCTGGAGGCTTTAAGTTGTTCAAATAGTTTCTCAAACGTTTCCAACGACAGTTAAAAACCTGCAGAGTTACAAACAGGTTTTAACTTGCTGCAGCCGTTCACTGGAAGATGTTTATCAGTTTCTGTCTCTGCTGTGCAGGAATGTTTCCTCCTTCCTCAGTTTGCTCATTTAGTTTTTTGTAAATTAAATGATTTGCTCTCTATTGGTGCCTGGTTCTGGTTCTGGTTCTGATCAGAAGATCTGGACAGATTGATGGTTTTCCAGCCTGTCGGCTCTGCAGCCTCCAGTTCTTCATCAACCAGTTTGAACATTTATTATAACCTGAGAAAAAACAGAGGAAACGTTTTCATGACTGTAGATTAGTAAAAAGATTAAAGGTAAAAAATAATGAACAACATCTAAAAATGAAACATTACTGTGTAAAAGTTTTAAAGCCGTCAGTTTGATTCAATCTTGGTGTAAAAAACGTCTTTTGACTGTGATCAGCTTTACAGGAACATTATTATCTCCTCTGCATCTCCACTGTATTGATCCAGATATTAATCAATAATCTGGGCAGAAGAAAAAGACCCAGAAAGGAGGAAATAGTTTTTATCATCCAGTAACTTGTGGATGTTTGTTGTTAAAGTTTCAGTCAGTCGGATCCATTCAGTCGTCTTTCACTACATGACCGACTTCAGTTCCTGATCCTGTTTAAAATAGTTTTTGTTTACTTTTAGAAATAAAAAACAAATGATTAATAAATTACAAACATTTCAGAATAATTCAAGAACCCTGGCAGGAAGGTCAAAGGTCACCATAGACATTAATTAGCATTAGCATTAGCTAACATAATTCAACTGCTACACATTTAATTATCTTTTTAGCTCTGATGCTAAATTTTGGCCAGAAAGTTCATTTAAAAATAAATAATTACAATAATAATAATAATAAATAAAGAATCTGAAACATAGTTCTGAACATTTTTAAAGTTTAACATTTTCCTAAATGACAAAAATTTATTTTCAATTCAAGCTTTTTCAGTTTATAATCTTTTTTATTTTTCATTTTATCTTTGGTCTTTCCATGATGATTCTCACCTGATCCTCCTTCACTACTGAACATAAACTTCTTTAATCTTTGGCCTCTCTTAGATGGAGGCTTTAAGTTTTTCAACTAGTTTGTCTCAAACGTTTCCAACGAAAATTAAAAACCTGCAGAGTTACAAACAGGTTTTAACTTGCTGCAGCCGTTCCCTGGAAGATGTTTACCAGTTTTCTGTCTCTGCTGTGCAGGAATGTTTCCTCGTTGCCAACATGTCTGAAAAAAAAAGGTTCAACCTCCAAACATTAAGATCCGTCCAGCAGGAACCTTTTCTGATGTGTCATAAATGGAAGGTGAAGTTTCAGATCAATGTTAATCAAACTAGTAAATATCATTTAACACAAAATTCCTGATGCAGGAATTACCTGGGAACACTTCAGGGTGGGGTCATAAGGTCGTCCATCAGCGGCCCGCTGCGTTTTTGGGTTAAAATATTACAAAGTTTTGAGTGTCATAATTCAGAGGAGGGTTGTGAAGCCCTCCTCTGATTGTTTTACTGATAAAAAGTGAATAATCTGTTTCTCCTGATCTTATTGTTCCTGACTCACCTCAGGCTCCGCCCCTTCTCACTACGGTACAACAGTATCAGCCCGGCAGGCTGATGAAGCAGAGGAAACCCTGACTTCTAGTTCTAGTTGGTCTCTTGCTGCTCTTGGTCTGGTCCCTCACTAGGAGCCAGTGACTAATAACTTCAGCAAAACACATGAGCTTCTTTTCAGTCAATTATTTCTTAATATTGATGAATCATGCAGATTATTTCACTGATAACATTTATAACATTTACCCAAATTATGAGTGAAACAATCTTCCAATTAAATAAGTAACTAATTCTACTGGCAAAATTGAATAAATTATAGGTAAATCTTTATTATTGCAAACCTTCATTCTGTCCACCAGGAGGCAGAAATGAGTAACAGATGTTTATTTAAGACTCATTTAATCATCAGATAAAAGCTTTACATTTAATAACATTCTAAAAACAGCAGAAATTCTCAGGAAAAACATAAAAAAACAACAAAGTTATAAAAATGAGTCATAGGAGACAAGAATATGATTAAAACCAGCAGAATAACAATTAAATGATCATAATGTCCATCATATTAATGTTAACCTAAATATCTATTTTCATTTGATTTTATCTCTGATTTGACTAAATGTGTTTAAATTGTCCTTCTGTGTTTCCATCCAGTTCAAACTGACTTCAGGTTCTTCAGACTTCACACAGTCAGACATTAGAAGCAGAAACTATTGAGCAGGTTTCCTCCTGTTTCTCATCCTCATACAAATATTTACACAACAGTGAAACTTCTCGGCATCGAATGCTAATTAATGAGTGGAATTATTGATTTCCCTTTAAACTAATCAAAACTATTGATCACATTGATGAGCTCTAAATAAAAAACTGTCATATTTCAGAATTTTAAAGCTCCAATCTGGTGGAAAAAGCCTTAAATTCCCAGATGTTGAGGAGCCGTCGGGTCCAATCAGAGTAAAACTTGGTGCTGATCTGCA